GAACCCGTGGCCTTGGTATTATCAGCACTGCACTCTACCGAGTGAGCCACGGGCCGGCCTCATAAACACTTTAAAACAAGTGATAGGACTGGCCATAGACTGAGTAAGGTGTTTACCCTATGCATAATCAACAAAGGGTTAGTATAAGGAATTCTCACACATCTGTAAGAAGCAGACACATACAAAAGCGTTAGAAAAAATATGAAAAGGCAATTGACAGGAGAAATTCCAATGGCCAGTAAACATAGAAAAAAATGCAAAACCTTAACAGTAATCAGGACACACAAGTAACTGAAATCATGAGGAACCAATTCCCTTCCCTTTGATTGGCAAAATTAGAAATGTTACCTGGGCTGCTGGTTAGCTCACTTGGGAGAGCATGGTGCTGAGAACACCAAGGTTAAGTGTTCGGATATCACCAGCCAGCCGTCAAAAAAAAAAAGAAGGAAGAGAAGTGGTACCAGACAAGGGTTGGGGAGGCTGTGTGATTTGACACGGTGCTAGTGGCAATATTTATCAGTTTCCTATTGCTGCTGTAACAAATTACCAAAAACTTGGCAGCTTAAACACTACAAATTTATCATCTTATAGTTCAGAACTATGAAATAGGTCTTAATGAGCTAAAATCAAGGTATTAGCAGGGGTGCATTCTTTCTAGAGGCTCTAGGGGAGAATCCATTTCCTTGTCTTCTCACACTTCTAGAGTCCCCCTGCGTATCTTGGCTCATGGCTCCTTCCTCCATCTTCAAAGCCAGCAGCATAGCGTCTGCAAATCTCCCTCTAACTCTCCTGTCTACTTCTTTCACTTATATGGACCTTTGTGATGACCCTGGTCCTACTTGGATAATCTAGAATAATCTATCCATCTCATGATCCTTAATTTAATCACATTTGCAAATTTCCTTTTACCATGTAAGGTAAAATATTCACAGGTTCGGGGGATTAATATATGGACATCTTGAGGGGGTCATTATTCTGCCTGCCACAGAATGTAAATTGCTATAACAACTTTGGAGAACAACTTGATAATTTTTTGTAAAATGGAAGATTTTCATAGCCAAGATCCAGTGATAACACATCTAGGTGTAACACTAGAGAAATTCTTGTACATGTATATGAAGAAACACATACGAATTGCTCATGCAAAAGCAAACCCTCTCTGGCAGAGCAGTCGAGGCTCTCAGAATGAGTTAAAACAAATATGAGTCATGATAAAAAGTACCAGGATGCAAAGAAAGAAACCACCATGAAGAAGAATTAACAAAAATAATAACTGAGTCAGACCCCTAAGGTCATTGATATTGGAATGATTAGATAGAGAATATAAAATGACTATGTATGAAATGTTTAAAGAAATAAAAGAATAAATTTAAAATGAGCAAGACACAAGAGACTATTAAAAATAAATCGGAGATTTGAAAGACCAGATAGATTTTTTAGAAATTAAAAGTAAAATATTTAAAATTAAGGGCCGGCCCGGTGGCGCACTGCTACAGTGTGCCGCTTGGGAGCATGGCGATGCTCCTGCCGAGGGTTCGGATCCCACATACAGACCGGCCGCTCACTGGCTGAGC